GAGGTTTGTGTCCAAGCTGGGCGACCAGCGGAATGTGGTCAGCCTGGTTCTTATTATGGATTCTTTAGTAGGCTCAAGGGCCGGGAGGGAGGGGGAGAGTTCCACCTCCAAGACCCGGCCTTTGCGCGGCGACACAATAATAAAAATGGCATTTTTCGGGAAGTGAGAGACAAAAGCGTCTGGTGAACAGTTGATCTCTCGGGAGCAGTGGTGGGGACCGTGAGTTATCACGGGACATGACGACATGACAGTTCCCTAGGAAGAGGCGACGGATCTCTGGCAGAGGGGAGGTTGAAGTGACAAGACAGGGGTGAAGGGGGCTGTGCACGGCATAGCTCTCCAGCGCTGACGCAGAACCAGTCTGACGCAGCGTGGGCACACGCCACGCTGTGCAGGCACGCTGACGCAGCGTGAGGCAGCTGTCATCGCAGCTGGCGGTCGCTGCGACACAGACATATGTTGAAGACGGCCAGGACGGGGTATCTCGGAACACGCGCATAGTCTAATGGCATACAGCGTGCGAATCGGAATGATCCGCAGAACAGTGCGGAGGAACAGTTGGACCATGATCCTTGAGCATGCAAGGATGAGCATGCATATGCGCGTGCTCTACCCATACGGGAGACCGATGACCGGGGTGATTCACGTATCGACATATTATTGTCGTGTCGATTTCGGGTAGGAAAACAATTGGGTTTCCGCTCGATCACCCAACCGAGGTCCTTGTGCCTAAATAACGCGTGGTGGACAATACTCGTACGGTAGATCGCCCTTTTCGCCGCACAGGAGTAGCGGCTGTATTGTACTCCACTACGTCATCAACCCCCTTGCTTGTCCGTTTCCCCTAAAAAACTTCCCCGCAATTTCTTTCCTAGCCGCTCTGTACGATTCAATCCCGCTCCACAAACCCCAGATTTCCTTATATATCGGTAGTTACAATCGCAGGCACGAGAAGGTTGATTCAAGACCTTGTATCATTAACGAGTGCGCCCGGCATGCAAGCCCACATGCACGCAGAAGGGGGATCGCCCCTCTACAGATAAATGCCACAATGATACACGAAACCCCATAGATCTCCGCAGATCAGTATCGAGTGCTGAGTATCCCCAAACAACCCGCCCTTACGGTGTACCAACGCGTATACAGACAAGAACGGAGCCCCAAACGCGGCGCTGCAAGATAAGAACTCAGGAAGGTGGGGGGTGATTCATGGGCCACAATCAGCAGATAGTTTGAGATTCGAGGCGAGGGGGGGGAGAGGGCCTTGTTGATTAAATGCTTGTGCGCGCGGAGGGGGAGGGCGTACTTTCTCTCCTCATGTTTCGGATGCCTTAGCGGTGAGACCATTGACCGCACGTCCGCGCGAGGACGCATCATTGTTGTTCCAGCAGAACGAAGTACGTTGTCAAAAGTGGCTCAAAAAAATTTCCCTAGCCTATCGTAAAGTATGTACAGCAGTATGGCCTATCGCTGCCCTGAGAAGTAGGGTGCAAGGTAAGTGGAACGCCACAAGTCAATGGAATGCATTCGATATAAACTCAGGGCGACATTGACTTCGGGCAACATACAAACAACAAAAGCAGTTGCTGCGTGGCACACCGCAAAAAGGGTGCAGGGACTTCGGCCTTTCGTTCCGAGGCCCTCACTCCTAGCACACAGCAGAGCAGCAGCCCCGTGGATGCGCTACTACCCTTCGTCGATGATCTTGATCAGCTTTTCGTTCAACATCTGCGTATGGACTTCGTTTCTCCGTAGTCCGTGGTGTCGACTGCAGGGCAAACAACAAATACGATGCAGCACAGAAGAGGAAAACGTCACAGATAGGTATGTTGGTGGGAGCACCGCAAAGAAGGGGCAACATTAGCCAAGTTTTTGGTCTTGTTCGGAGGGGTTCACACCGCTGTTGCAACGCCCGTGCCAATCATACCACCCACTTCCCACGACGGCACATAGTGCGAAGATAACGAAACACGCCTATGGAACACGACAGCATCGAGGCGGCTAAGACGCAGGATGAGAAGGACAGACTTCGGCCTTGGAAAAGACAGACCCAACTAACGAATGAACAAGTCGAAATATACGGCAGACTTACTTAACAAACACCTGAAGACGAGGCTGGAAAGCTTAAGCACAACGGGTTGAAACAACACCATCAGCCGGCCACCTTTAGTGCTACGGTTGACATGGTGTCGAACTGTGTGTGTTGCTCGGCTCTCGGAATAGTGAAGGTGGCCTTGTATCACGATGTCGGGAATGTGCCTCTCGCTGGGTGCCGCCACCCACCACCCACACCAGACCCAGCTCAAAGGTTGCCCCTAATCAGCCATTTGCCCCCGCTCGGCGCTCAGAACAAGTGCGAGCACGCTGAAGTTTCTTTCGACAGCAATCGGGCCAAGTCGACGGCACGGTACCGAACAATTGACGCCCGTTTCAGTAAAATCGCTTTCCCACGTCGACGAAGACGTTCGCAGCAGGACTACCCGACAGACCGAATTGACACCAGGCTTTCAATTGCCAAGAAGCAGAACGTCCCTCCGCAACAACAGAACCATCAACAGTTTCGGGTCAACAACACAAATGGCAACGTGGTACGAGTGTCTGCCCACGCCACATCTACACGGACGGGTGGCATGAGGACAACAGCGACAATGGTGCTCACCGTCAAGGGATCGAGAGAGGGGATTCAGTTGCCGTGCACATACTGGGGAAGCGGTGCCTCCGTCGCGAGCATGTACTGTCTCTCCGACGCTGAGCCGTCGATCGGCTGGTATCCTTCCTCACTACGGGGATATGATCAACCCAGCACACGTCAAGGCAGCACCATTCGTAAAAGCGTTAAATGATTATAGCCGATGCGTCCAAGCAGTAATGATTTACGTGTCACAAAGTTCCACGTCAACAATTCGGTATGTAGACTGCGAAAGCGATGCCGAGATACACTAACCGGTCACACAAAACACCAACAGATGTCAACATCACAACATAGTCCGGTCTTATGTGTACAACGCCACGGACACAGTACAACAGCTAGGACGGCTAGTAGTGCTAAAGCCAAAAGACTGGTCAGGCAGGGTTTTGCTCTTTCAATTTTTCGGTATTGCCAGCACACAAGCCAAAACACACGACGGCGTAGTCATTGCACTTGGTATCGTACATCGAGGAAACTTCAAAGGACGTTGGAACACGCGAAGGTGCTGGTCCAAGCTCAATTACCGGCGGCGAAATGCTAGGACGACATCTGAGTCACGGCTGGATCAACACAGCGCAAATTTGTTGGGTTGGAATATCCAATAAAACAAGGATGACATGTCGACTAAGGAGAAGGGACAACCCAGCAGCGTACACGACTGCGCATTGAATTGAACATCAAAGCTGGAGACACGCACAGCAACAGAAACAGTCTTATTGAAAATACAATCCAACTGAAGAAAAGAAATCGCAGGGAAGCCAAATAATTGAGCGGGTAGTCTGGTGCAACGCCTTGTACCAAGATATCCCGTTCATCGAATGTCGCACTTCCCTCCAGCTCAAAACGCATTCCGCTATTTTTGGGCACGTCGGTCTATGTGGTTCATTTTCGGCTCCCTCCCCGTCGATATTTGCCCATTGCCTGGTGCATGTAATGCGTGTAGCATATACCGACGTTTCCTCTTGATCGTTTTGGTCCAGCTAGAAACCAACGTCACTACACCCAGGTAAGCAAGAGGGCGAGGAGAGCGCTCCATGAGTGCAACCATCTACCATAGGAATCAAATGACAGCGGAGCCGATCCCCAACGTGATCGATCACCTTGGCCGCATGCAGCAGCAGCAACAACACAGGACGACAACACCGGCCCCCACGGCAAGTCCCACCTCGTACGCGATGCAGTTGGACTGAGGCCGCCATCCCATCGTTCCGCCCAGCCGTCACGTCAACAGCGTCAGCAACAACAACAACAACAACAACAACAACAGTGGCAACAGCAGCGCGTTAACGTTGTTCACGGCTAAAGCGCGAACAGCAAATGAACGAGAGAGTGAAAAAGAAGGCACGTTCACCATCTCCACGTGTGTCGATATGGTTTGAAAGTGTTCACGTCTTGAGCAACGGCCGCACACAGCTTGTCACCCATTCGACCAAAACTACCCCGAAATAGGTTGGACATATTCGACCCTTGCCGAGTTTCGACGGGGAAAACAGAACACGACAATCTCCATCACTTCCCCGCGCGCCGGGCACACAAGCTAAACTTGCATCGCAAACAAAAACAGCGCTAGGTGTCGAACCACGGTTGCGCTTCTGTATTTGGCACGTCGTCAATTCGAGGCAGTCCAATGTGAACGTAAGGTCTATTCCAAATATCCGCGGTGACAACATTTGATAGCGTAACAAATTATCTTGTAACTGCTTCGTCATTGCAACGCTCCGTGGAGGACAAATGACAACGGCACATCCATGTTTTGTCTACCCCGAGACGAATTGACTCTCTTATCTTCCAACGTCCCGATTTGACCCCTTAACAACGCGCACGCCCATGATGGAATAATACCATCGCTCAAGTCAACACCCACGTTCTCGGAATCCGAGGTCGACGTAGAACACTCCTCCAGAGACTCGATGAGCATGATGCCCACGGTTACCACGATCACAAAGGCTGCCGTACAAAGAACCACCCAGCAGCAGCACGTCGTCCCCAACGGCCCTCGAGTACCACCGTGGCCCCCACCATACCGCGCCCGTACCCCGGGACCCCCAAAGAACTGCCCAGCTGGGGCTGGGGGTCGCGGTGGGGGTGGTCGAGGGGCGCCGCCTCTGAATCCTCCAGGGGCCCGGTGGCCCCTCGCCCCCCCTCCCCCCCTCCCTGCGGGGGGCGCCATTGTAGCGAAGCGATGGAGTGAGCGAAGCTATGCGAGATCTCGATGCCACCTAGAAGCTGCCGACGCCGACTGTGTGCACAGTCTAAAGGGGGATGCCGACGGTGGCGTTGGTGTGTTGAGGTTGTCGCCTTTCCTGATATGACGCAAGTCGTGAGCAGACGAACCAAAAAAGAAAAGAGAAGGTAAGGGCACGCGAAGCAAGCCTCAGACAGACCCTGGGCAAGTCAGCGACAGGGCGCGATAGCCTATAGGTCACTCTATGGTGAAGTCAAACGGAACACACATCCACCACAGATGCGTTTATCGTTTTCGGCACGAACATGCAGGTTGGACCAATTTTTCAGCGAAACCTTGGAAACTCAAGTACTGAAGCAATACCCATCCTTGACTGGGCGAGAGTGCAATACTGATAGCGGTCTGCTAGATTGAGGTTCCTTGGAGCTCGTCAGGTTGGGTCAGGCACATAAAGAGGGGGAAGGAGAAACGACTGGGAGAGAGAGAAAGTTAGAGATAGAGCGAATCCGAAAATAAGACTTCCAACGACACGAGCGTGCAAGCACTCGACTAAAGCAACCACGAAAACGACGCTACGGATGCTGCTCTGCCAACTCTCTTGCGATGCACTGTAGTCAACACTCTGATTATCCCCTTCTGTCATCTCTCGCACCGGCTAGGGGGTTCCATGTCTCACCCGGTCCAGCCAAACGCAACAACACGCACGCATGTCGCCGCCGCAACTACTGTATTCGCCGCACACCATTTGCAACTCAAATCCCCTATTTGGAGCAAGCTCGAGACAACCTACATGTTTGGATAAAAGCCAGGCACTATTCTCCGTGAGGATGTACAGCAGTACTGCTGTACATGGGAGATATCACGGGTTTTATACATGATCATGATGCTCTGTACCAATAATCCTGGACCAATTTTCAAAGGCCGACTCCACGACGACGCAGAGGATGCCACAATCACACGGTACGTGTTCGGAAAGCTATCGAACAGGCGGCTCCAAACGTCGCCAGTTTCGGCACCGTCTTTGTCGTTGCTGCAGAGAAATCGAGCTTTGAATACCGGTCCAAGTGGTGTTATGTCTCATGCCATATCGCCTACGGCGTTCTCGTCTTACCTGGATATTGTCCGCAACCAGTACAGCATTACATAGTTCACCTATTTTTCGCTGACTCTTCCAGTAACATTCGAACGAACACACAAACAAACCCCGCCCTATTCACATGCATAAGTGGCAAGAAGTGTGCCAGCTTTCGAGATGAAGTACATGTAGTAGTGCATATGGCTCAGCTCTGGTTGTACTTATCCTCGTACTGCTGTATGAAGCAATGTTGCCTCCCTCCCAGTGGGGATACGCTCCTCCAACACTCCTTCTCGTTGCTGTTTAAACGACAAGAATGCTGCTGCTTTTGGACCCGTGCCCACATGACTCTGTACATACTGGAGTACATTGTAGGCGCGTCTATCATGCCGCCAACCAGAGGCACGAAGAATCTCACATGGATGAAACCATGAAGGCATGATGCAATCAGCTTGCACCCGGTCACACACATCGTCGGAGAACTATGAGCGATACCAGAGATTGCATGTGGTCCGCTGTGTACTGGTGCAATGTGGCACAGGCTCTCTCCAGGCCACTTGCCGTCAAGCTGCCAATGCTCCCTAAATAACCGCCAGCTCACCTACAAAGCAGATGGACACGTCAAATTGCAGTAGACTTGCCTCGTGATACACGTGCCGCCCTCGCTGTCCCCGCTTTGTCGCGCGCTTGAAAGGGGGCGGGGAAGAAGCGGAGAGTCTGTTCTCCCACTCGTAGTCTCGTAGATCGTAGACTTGTGTGTTATCGGAGATTGGGGTTTGCATTCAATATAGCATGGTTCTCGAGGCGGTGTGGCCTATTTTGGCGCGACCTTGTCCAGCTGAGAGGGAAAGAGGCAAGAGCAGGTCACCCGCACAGCAACCGGGGGCTGGAGAGGGCTGGCGTGGCCTGCCGAGGGAGGTGATGGCCTGCTGGAGGATATGGGCGCTGTTCTCGTTGCTTGTCCTCCCTGGTAACTCGTCGCAGTGTGCGAAAAAAGAGGGGTCAAACTGGCATGTTTTTCAAAACGCGATAGGTGAGACGATCTAACGACACGATGAGGATCCATCGTTCGTTGCAGCGGCGGGCGTAGAGAGGGCAGGCAGCGATCTTGTTGGGGTGCCGTTAACTCCCGTGCCATCTTCCTGCACCCGATCACCCTAACATTTTGTGCGAAACTCAAGGTGGTTATTGTTCAACACACGATTTTTCTGTCTACAAAGATGTGCCTGCTGAGGAGTTAGTGTCACTGGTGACGGTGTCTCCTCACTTGTCCAACTTGTGTATATTGTAGCGGTAGCACACATAGAAAGACGACGCTTCGGCCCAGCGTCGCGTCCTGCATGTGGCGCAGATCATAGGAGCTTGGTTTACTTCATGTCGAAGATGGGTTTGAATTGCGGTCTGCGGATTTTTAGCGTCGGCATCAGAAGGCTAGCCGCGCACTACTTCCGTTGCTGTGGACAAGTGGAGCGGGTCACCCGGTGACGACCCGTTGGAGGCACTCCCAACGACTCTCAAGACCTTCACGAGCCGTGTGTATTGCTGTGTATGGAATGGAGAGTGAAAGGATCCATTGTCCGTCCCCAGCTGTGCTGCGCTTGTGGCCTCTGGGGTTACCTATTTCGGTACTTTGAGCAAGGTTATGATAGTGCAGGTACGGTGGTGGGTGCGTCTTGAGGCTCTCTGCTCCCCCCCCACCCGGCCCACGGTCTACACATGTCACCACCCCCCACCCCCTCAATGACAGGGGGCTTAACTACGGTGCAGTAGGATTCTTCGAACGGGTCATGCTCCACACTAAACCTAGTAGTCGAAATGGGCTATTCGTTGATTTCCTGCTATTGTTCGGAGTTTTGACCCTCGCGAGAGTTACGTTATGCCCCCGGTAGTGTTAAATTGCAAGAGCAAGACGAGTGAAGCCAATAGTCGTGGCCGCTCAGATTCGGCAACGCAGCTCTTGGGGTGAGCGGATAAGCACCACAGCCTTCACGGATCTTGAGCGCCGGTAATCAGCAGCAAGTAAAATACGGGTAAACAACACCAACACCAAAGGTTTTGGATGAAGAACCTTTGTTGTATGGATCAAAGAGAATTTAGAGATAGCGGGATGGGGAGGTGGTGATCCCTGCCGGTTCGTGTGGAAAGTGATGCAGTATATACCGTGGATCAACCATACACCGTGTGCCCAAGTGCTGGCACGACCCGGCTCGATTTCGGGGAGGGTCTCATCAAGTTTCGTTATTCACGTTGTATGCAAAAGTCATGCGACAATACATGCTTTGTTTAGACCCGAGCAAGTTTCACCACTGCTGCACCAGACCTCCTGACGGTTTTGGTTTTGTTTCCACGTGTTGTTCAGCTGTGTGAGCTTTCTGATTCCATCACTGATGATGCCGCTGCATCTTGTGTACTCTGATGCTGCTGTCGATGCATCCTCATCATCATCATCACTACTGCTGTAGAGGCTGCCGGACTCGCTGGGGAGGATGGAATCGCGAACATCTTGGCGGACCTCCGCACCGGAGCCTTGAGGTAACTTGCACCCTTGAAGCGGGTACCGTGAAGTCTGCAAAGGCTGCGTTGTTTGTGTTGGCGATCTTGTTGGTGATCTTGTTGATGATCGTGTTCGTGATCGAGTTGGTGATCGTGTTGGCAATCACGTTGGCGATGGTGTTGGTAATGGTGTTGAAAATCGTGAGTTGGTGATGGTGTTGATGGTCGTGTTGGTGTGGTGTTGGTGATCGTATTGGTGATCGTGGGACCCTAAAGTGTTTCTCGCCCGCTGTTACATGTAGTAGCGTCGTGTAAGTTCTGCCGGGACCCGTATGCAGCGGCAGCACCCCAAACGAGCTACGGTCGAGAACCGCCCACACGTACTGAATATACCGCCGCATCCCACCATGAAAGCCAAGCCAAGACAAGACAAGACAAGACGATCGTGCCGTGTCTATTATGCTGTATTGTAGTCTACTGAGGTGAAGTATAAATCAACGAGACACGACGAAAATATATACATCAATATCACGCACCAATGTCGACACTGCACACGTGATATGGCAACATGGCCGATGAAGCCCACATTATTTATTTTTGTAGTGACTACGTTTTGTGCGCCTCCCTTTGTTCTTGCATGTCGTCCTTCATGTGCTTCTTTTCCTCCTCTTCATTTCCGTAAGTGTGTGACATCTGCTCCTCCACCTCCCTGCCGTTTCTCTCTGTGTGTTCTTTTTTTCTTTTGCGTGTCCACGTCCAGCCAGCCCGTACCCCACACATACGTAATTGTCGGGGGCGGGGAATGGGGGCCTAGGGTGGTGGCCGAGGCGCTGCTGGATTCTGTGTACGAGCGCTGGTCGAACGATGTTGTCGTGCTGGACATGGAGGAGCAAGCAGCTTTCTGGGGTCCGTCTAGCAACCTTGATGAAGTACGTGCAACTTCAAGGAATCAAGTTCACTGCAGCAGTCGAGCAGAGACCAAACGTTCAGCTATGAGGAAGATCAGTCTATGCAATATACTGGCGAGTCCGTTGGTGGTTTGTCTGTGTGTTTCATGAGCTGTGGATATCGTCTTGCGCGACAGCGGTTGAAAACGTGTACAAATCCGAGCAACGTAGCACCAACAATCGTTCAGTTTATGCAACCCTTCGTGCATGCACATCATGTTTTTTCGCATGTGTTCTTACAGACCAGGGTGAACGAGACTGCGTCTTGGCGTGCTTGCTCAACGGATGTGACGTTGCCTGGAACGTTTGGTGTCCTGCGGCTAACCCTCAACACTACCACTCTCTCGCACGTTTGTGCCTGTTGGGCTGCAGGCACAAGAACAGCTGAACAGGCAGCTATGTGTCGCGATTAAACGGTGCGTGGGTAGGGCCGTGGTGGTGTTGGACAACGTGCATCTCCTGCAAGGGGAAGACTTGAGAGTGCTGGACACCATGCTGTCGCTCACAGACGGGCGCAAGTGAGTCAATCTTTCGCGAAAGCGGGGAGTGTTCAGCCATGACCCATCTGGCCGCAATACGTCGTTTGTCGCTGGTTCGCTGTGACGGGCCGTCCTCTGTTTTGCTGCCTTGCGCTTGGGGACGAAGAATGCAGCAGACGGGTAGTTTAACTCTCCCCCAGAAAGCGAAAGCTTTGTCCGCATGCTGCCAACCCTGCGGCTTGTCGATTCTCAGCGTTTTCCGCATGTCAGCCATTGTTGAGCATCACAAACCTCTGGGTCCAAGCGGGTTGATTGGCTGACGTAGCTCTCGCTCTTACCTTCTGTACCGCGCTGCTGTTCGTCTTTGAAAAAGCCTTTGGTTCAGCATAAGCAGGATGGTGTCCGCCTGCGACCGCTGTTGATGTGTTGCAGAGAGCAGTGCAATTCAAGCTGTGCGCGTACGCGACAGATTCTGAAGCCCAAACGAACTTATGCAACGGCAACGTTTTGCTCATTTTTTCGTGGTTTTGGCAGGTCGAACATGGAGTGCAACGGCCACAAGGTTAGCGGAGAAGGGTGCCTGTTCTTGCTCCTGCTAAACGAAGAGGGATCGGAGGGCATGAAACGGCTGTCGGGGAAGGATCGACTGCTGAGCGCATGGGAGTTCAGAGGTGATCGGAGATGTAGACTCTTGCCTTGGCCGTGACAATGGCTCTCCAAGAAGAAAGCCGGGCAGCAGTCATGTCCCTGCCCGAAAAATACATCGCGTCATCTACGCGTAGCACAGGAGAGAAATCTGGTTTGGATTTTAGAAGACGTGGGCCAACCGTGACATGAGCGAGCTGGAATTCGATGGCTCGGTGTGCTGTGTCGAGCGGCGCGGTGCCGGCCTCTGCCGTCGTTTGCGATGCGGCGGTTAGTGGTGTGTCTGGTGAAGGAGCAGCCCAGCGATCAGACATGTTCCGGCATCGCGCCAACTCCTGCTCCCTAGTCAAGAGTTACTCGCGCCGATTTCCAGAGCATCAGTGTTGCTTATTGTACTCGTGATATGGTTTTGATGGAGGCTTTGTCTGTGTTGGTTGTCAACTTGCGCATGGGTGTGTGTATTTTGCTGGCAATGCTCGGGCTGGTCGTGCCGGAGGAATCAGTACGAGGCCCGCCGGCTGATACGGACCGCCTGTTTTTGTTTGTTCATGGTTCAGAGAGAGACCTTGGACGGACAAAAGGTCGGAGAGCTTGGCCCATTGTTTGCGGTAGCCTCAGCGGACGTACGTGACGAGCTCTCCTCCCGGGAACATGGCGATCAGCCGATGTCTCGTGCGTCCCCATCCCCGGGCGTGACAGCATGTTATTTTGCCAATACCTCCGCCCGGCCCAATCCCTGGGTTTGATATCGCAATTGTGGCAACATGTCGATGTTCCGATACCTTTGCCCGTCCCCATCCCCTTGTTCAGAGTTCACAATCGTAAACACATGCCGGTGAACCCCATCAATCCCCGTCCCTGAGTGTGACAGCGTGTCGATGTTCCGATACCTTGGCCTGTCCCCATCCCCGTGTTCAGAGTTCACAATGGTAGCAACATGCCGATGTTCCGATATCCCACCCATCCCCAGGTATGGAGTTCACGACCAGGGCATTTGTCGGGCGGGTGGACGTGGCGGTCAGCCTGTCAAAGGAGCCGACCTTCGTTCCCGCGGAGACCAAGTCCGCCTGGCAGGACGCGAGGAAAGGACCTGCTCCCGAAGGGGTGCTCGACCGAGCCAATGGCGTCTGGCGGGAGGTGGTCAAGGTTGAGCGGGGGATCAGGACGGCTTTGAGAGAGATGGATCGAGAAACGCTACAGGCCGTCGGTGTCGTTGCTGCTGCCGCGGTTTTGGCCTGTGCCGTCTACTTCCGTGAGGTGGGTGAGGGGGGCTTGGCTTGAGTGCTTGAGTGCTGTCCCGGAACCAATACTAGGAGAAATTCCCACGAGTTGTGTTGCTTGCGTGGTGGGGTCGCGAACGGATTGTTGGCCATCGGTTGTCCATAAACTTTAGACGATATTTTCTGCGTGTTGCCCCACGGACGCACCAACCAACGAAACGTCTACGCGAGGCCTTCGGGGTCGCTGCTACAGGAGTAGATGCACATCTCCTCCGACGTGTGTTGATGCAGGCCGTCATGCAATCTGTATGAAACCCGCGCAAAATATCGAGCAGGTTGTTCTTGCGCGACGTCTTTGACATGGCACGATCGTTTTTTTACACGTTTTTTTGTCGCTGTACCCTCACTGCTGTGCTCATGAGATTTTCCGCCTGTGGCCGAAGCTCGCGCATTTATTTTTCTACTAAATTATTCCGCGATCACACTCGAACCGCAGGAGGGGGTCCAACCCCCCCCTCCTATGTGACCCCGGTTGGGTCGTCTAACTGGTAGAAGTGGAGGATAGGGGCCAGAGGGGCAGACGACAGAGTCCGACGATAAGAGAAAAACAAACAAACAAAAAAACACTCGATGCCTGGTGGTTCTTCGACTTGAAACCAGGCCGCATTAGGCGCGATCGGCACCATCGGCGGAGCGACGAAAGGGGGCTCCCCGGGCGACTCCGAGGGTGGTGGTAATGACAAGAAGAAAGGCCCCGGTCGCATCAAGGACAAGGCAGTCGGTTCGAGGGGGGGCAGCGGAAACGACGACTCATCAGAAACAACAGCAGACGGTGTAGAGTGCCATGCCCCGGGCGACTCGGACGGCCCAAGCATGACGGTAACCCGTAATCGAGGCCGACACCCGGTCGAAACTGGCACCCACGGTCCCGGCACATAATCGACCATTATTGCACCATGAGCACCAGTAGACGCAGGCGGGGGTAAGCGTAGGCTTGCCTCGGCGGGCGGCCGCCAAACCGGGCCCCTTGAAAAGTTTTCAGCAGTATTCTCGCGTCTTGCCTGTCTCACGGGCTGCAACCCACCGGTTGTCGCCTGGTACGTGTGGAGCTACCCGAGCGACTTCTTCCTACTGTAGACTGCCGTCTTTGATGCGAGGACAACGGTTTCGGTGAAATTTTGAGGGGGGTGCAGTACTACTGTTGTTCGAGCTCGAGGAGTATTGTATGCAACCCAGTAAACACATGCCACAGTAGGGGGGGGTGGAACCTGATTGTTCGTGGCTGCAAGGAACGCTTGAGTGGCTGAAAAGTCATAGTTTCATGGGAAGGCAGTGCGTGCTTACTACAGCATTGGACGCCCACGCCGTTCATTTCGCATGTTTGCCGGCTTCAGACGCTATCATTCTGCCAAGGTCACGAGGTGAATGCAGTTGAAATTCAATTCCAAGGACTTCCCCGGTGGTCACGGGTCCTTCGGAGCGTACCTATTCAACAGAGGTAGGTGCCGTTCTCAATATCTCGAGGAACTATGATAGTTCGGTAGACTGACACATGGCGCCGTGCTTCGATGAAAGGAACCAAAGCTTTGTTGCCGGCGCTTGTGTGAAATACACGAGTTCAGTCAACGTGGTGGAAGTGGTGTTGTTGTACCGGTCAGGAATGTGTTATTTCGCGGCTCAGTCCAAGATTTAGAAGTCTAGAATTGGCTTGCGTCGAACTCCCTTCGCCAAGTTCCTCATCATACTTTGGGATGCACTGTTACTGTTTACAACGACCATCCTCAAGGACTACTGTAAACAACATATTCGCCTGATTGAGAGCGAAGTATCTGATTGAGAGCGAGAGCCAAAAAAATTGAAATTTCGGGTCCAGACGCCTCTTGCCATTTCTTGGCAAGTAGGGGACGGGCTATTCCAAGAAGCGGTGCAAATTGAAGGTCTCATCAGCAGCTTCGCGAGCATATGCGTGTCATCGTCATCGGATGCTGCAGCGAGGAGCTAGACAAGTTGCTAGATTTGCCCAGATTGGCTATTTCTGCTCAAACTGTTTCAGGGCGGTATCGCGTCGGGCGGTGGGCTCTGCTGTAGCTTCTGCTCCCCGCTGTAGCTCCACAACGAGAGACTCCCACAGGATGACCAGGGTAGCGGCTTGAAGCTACGGGCTAGCCCTTCAATTCAAGCTACACAGCAAGCTCCACCTCTCAGTGGTAGTCCGGCTACAGCGTATCGCGCAATCTCGCTCTCAATCAGATGCTACGCTCTCAATCAGGCGAATATGTTGTTTGTAGTGTTAGCACGAGCAACAACCGGCCCACGAGCAAGCTCCCACTCACGCACGATTACGTACCACGTGCTGTTGTAGCTCCGTCTCACGGGCGGTTGTTGTACAGTCGACCCCGCTTTAAGGACGCACATGGTTTTTCCTGGAAACAAGCGTCCTTAAAGCGGGGATGCGTCCTTAAAATTCAGGGGACGATAGCTCACCATCCCCGGGGCCAATGGAGGCATCCTATACCTCAAACTACGCGTCCTTTTTTGCTAAGGGGGTGGTACGAGAAGTCAGCATCGCCGAGACGACTGGCAACCGTTTGTTGACGTCGAACATATTTTCAATGCAAGTTGACATTATACAGTATTTAAGTACAGTATAGGGCCTACTGTACTGTACCCGGGGTTTTGTATGGCTCTCGGTACTGCTGTACTAAGCGCAACGGTACGTTGTTTACAGCTAGCTTTGGATGTACTCAACGCAACAGTAGTACGTTTAGTTACATACAGCTTTCAATACTGTACTCAAAACAGTACGTCTAGTACAGGTCTCCATACTGTATACCCGACTCAGTACAGTACCCAGCTCTCCTATACTGTACCACTGCTGTACTGGGGCTTTTGTACGGACTTCCTACTACTGTACTGCAAATAAATACTGGACTGTACTAAATCAACCCTTAAATATTTGAAATAAATGAGATGTACGGCAGTCAGGGACGTGTTGAAAACAACTAGACTACAGTACACCAGTTTGTACTTGACCAACTAATAATAATGTACTGCATAGCCGGCAGCGGAAGGAGGAGGAGGAAAGTCCAAGTAGACATACATACATGAATATATTTATTTATCTCATTTATTTATTTTTTGCCTTCCGACAATTGCAGATGTACCTCAGAAAACCTTCACTTAAGGTCTCATACTCTACATGAATATTAAACCAATACGAAGTACAACAACATATGTAGGACTTATTTCTACTGTCACTTACATCGTAAAAATATCTCCTCTTCAACTTCAAATAAATAAAACCGATGACAAATCCTCATGGTATCCTACATGCGTTCGTAAGCTTGCTAAAATACTACTGCGTTGATGTCCTCTTGTAAAAGCTGTAATCCAACAAATGCTTTGATCCATGCTACATCTCCGTGTTGGACAAGCCCTTTCTTCTGCTTTCATGATAACATCTTACCCTATTCTACGCAAATCTGTCACATCTACTCTCTCTCAAACTAGACGCCAACTTCAAACGAAAACGCTTTCTACGATGCGTCTACACTCCATCCCCATATCATTGGCGTTGACTGGTTCGAGGTCGATCTTGTTCGCCTGTTTTCGGCGTCTTTGACGCCCGCGCAATGCGAGCTTGTACCTCTGCACTCGCCGAGATATGGTCACCTATCTATGTAGCCACCGAAACGATCTGAAGAAATCGTTCCTTGAAGAAGACTCCTTTCAGAGCCATCGTTCCTCCGTCCCTTCCTCCCACGGCATGTGTCGCGAGTTCATCGATGAACTCGTAACCCTCCTCTCCAAGGCGGCCAAGGCTGTAAGTTTAAAGCTGCGTTCGTCAAAGGACACGTGCCCCGGACGAGCGTAGTGCTTGACGCTTTCGCGCCTCGGATGCTTGGGCTGCGGTTCCATCGCTGGTCGCGCTGCCGTTCCGCAAGTGTACCTGTGCTTGCGGGTCTGCGTGTGTGACATCGAGGAGTATTCCTTTGTTGCGGTACCACCCCGGACGGAGAAGATGCGTTCGTGAGGGCTCCTGGCCTGATGACAATGTCCATGCTCAGGTTTCTTTCCCCCGTGAACGGTGCCCCGCTTTCAACGTCGTGTTCGACGCGAAGGCCGTTGAGTGCTCTCAATAGTGCGTACTTTAACGGCTCGTGCATGTTGACCTGTGCTCCATCCCTTGGACAAGTCCTTGCGTGCACCGTTTGTATTATCCTACATACGTATAGGTTGGCTCTCAGACAAGCACCGCAGGAGGGTGTGAATCCTCGACTCTTGTAAGGTACAAGAGGCCTCCGTGAGAAACGGTCGTGGGTATGGACGATGCGTAGAAAGCACCGGACAGACAAAGGTTGACAGAGTTGGATCTCGGGTGAGAGCCGAAGGGACAAGGATAGAAGTGACAGAGGGGTGCGAGCAGAGCGAGGGCACCGCCATCGAATAAGCCGACGTGGCGGGGACTGAGCGGGCACGCTGAGCTGGCAGGCTGACGCAGGCCAGCAGCCAGGAAGACACCGCCGTAGCGGGGACGAAATAGGCCGCACGAGATGGCGTGCGGCGTATCTCTCTCTCGCGCATACAAACTGATGCGATGCAAAAGTGTGCAGCGAGGACGAAAAGTTCTACCGCGTAGTGTGTAGGTTCTCAACGGACAAGAGCCACTCACATCACCCCCAGTTGGGTGGTAGCGCTCCCTCCAACAAAAATCGAGCAGTAATGAGGGACGAAGCTACTGAGAGGCTACATACTACCCCCATTTCTTGGTACGCTCGAACGGAAAAAATGTTGCGGGATCATTCTAGAGGACGATGCGGGTGAATATGAAGGACAGAACAATGACAGGGCGAGCGTGTAATGCTCGGACAAGAGAGTACTGATTGGTGTGTCATGCGGTGAGAGACACGTGAACAATAATTTGCCAGGATCGACAGGAGAGAATGGGACAGAGAGCGTAGACAGGTGTACTACTTGAACACAGCAGAAAGATGCTGTGGCCTGCAGGACAACAATTAGTTCGAGGGCGCATGCGGCGAAATGACGCTGTGCGGTGGACAGAGTGATCGATCGTAATATTGGAGATCCTGGGTGTGCTAAAGCAACGTGGACGCATCGTGGCCAGACAGTATTGATGCGAGCCAGGAGCACGGACAGACAAAAGACAGAGAAAGTCATGGCTGACAAGTTGGATAACGGCACAGTTTCCAACACAGATCATGTATGGAACAGGAGAGTCAGTCGCTTTTCTGGGGATTGGAAACCCAACCCGCGCCAGAAAAAATGCACACGGCGACAACCATGTCTCGAATCCTTCAACCGACCCTCTGGAGGGCATTACAGCGAGGAGAGACGAGGGCGTGTGGTACCCATGAAACCCGTGGAAAGATACGGTGTTCGTCGTGTATGATTATCACTTTTCTCGAAGAATCGTCCGTGAAATCAACCCCCCTGTGGCGGAAAGTCACTGCCACTCTCAAAACGCCACAAGTAGCCAATATCTCGTGTACTACTCAACGAGTGGGAAGGACCAGACACGATACACCTAGGGACAGAAAAAACCAAACCACGATGATCCATGGACACACGACGCTAACTCCTGGAAACACGACAAGGTTCCCAGCCTAAAGACGTGCTTATACGATCGTAGGGCGTGCCTGTTAGGAAAAGGACAGCCCCGAGGTGCGTGTGCGCGGTACGACGCACGATCAACGCAAAGGAACACCAAAAAATACAGACGACAGAAGACAGACAGCCATGAAAGAGGCGTACAAAAGTAGCCACGAAAAAATACTGCCGGCTACAGTACATACTGACAGACACGCGGGCGCCGGGCTTCGGTCGTTGCAAAAACCGAGGCAGACATACACTGGACACAACAGGTAACACGCGACACAACTGCCCTTACGTGTTCCGACGGCGAGACGAACGGCGCCGTGACTTCTTGCGTGGCGGGTCGAATGCCGAGGGATGTTCAGACATGACTACAGCTCGATAGGAATCGATCATTTCCCGACATAGTAGGAGGGTGCTGTAGTGACGCCAAACTCCACACTGTGGAGGCTGGCCTTGCAGTTTGACGTGGTATTGGAAATTATCCACCGACGCTTTGCCCACCCCCCGTTTATGACCGTCGATGGCTTCGACGACATACGGGCCGATCGTGACGGTGTGCATAGAGCCATCAAGATCAGGGACAGGAAGGGCTGTTCCGAGGAACATGTCGTCTAGAGCCTCAAAATCGGGGACAGGGGACGACGTAGGTTGGACAAATGGTTTCATTCGACCCAAGTGGACGGTGACTTCTGCGGGGTCGTTGTGTATTGAAACACGATAAATGACAGGAGAGATTTGATATCTGACAGTGTATGGCCCGTGCCAAGGACTAACGAGTTCGGGCTTGGGGCCATCAGTTTCGTTGTACGGGCGCGGTCTCAACGGACAAGAGTCACTCACATATTATTCACATGCAAGTAGGTTTCCGAGATTTTTTACAAGTTTCTAAAATAATACAAGACTACCAAGGGGCGACCAGCTCGCGATAATCTGTCAAAAAAGGCAATGGTTATCTTCGCTTCTCACTTCGTGCCACTGCTTGAAACTGCTGCTTGCTGTTGTTGTTTGCGTCTTTTTCGTCTCCGGAGGCTGGGTCCGTACCCTGATACGCAGCACACATTCCAGAGCTCCAACAAGGGAAAGGAGAAGTACCGCCTCGACTTCATCCTCATGCGTCAGGCGGACCGGCGTTTCGTGCGCAATGTCTCCGTCAAACGTGTCGACTTCAAAGACTCTGACCACAACCTCGTGCTTACGACTGTCCGCCTCCCCCCCCGTGTCGCACCCAACCGACGAGTGCGGGGGAACAGCGGAAGCAGCCGGATCCGTATCGACCTCGAGCGGTTGAGGAAGGACAAACACCTACGGGACGCCTTCCAAAACAGGGCCTCCAGCCGCCCTCCGCCCACGGCGCTCAGGCGGCCAACGGGAGAGACCGCCGCCGAGCTGACGGCTACGGTGATGTCGGCCGCTGCTGAGACCGCGCCGCTGGCGAGGTGCGCACGAGGGCAGAGAGGCTGGTACACGAGCGAAGCGCAGCACGAGATCTCTGACGCGTCGAAGGAGATTAAGGCGGCCCAGCAGCAACTGCGCGGGGCCTCA